TTGATAACTGCTTCCTTTCCGATTGAATAGGTATCCCACTGACATGACAATACATTTAATTCCAGTTTTGGAGACTTAGAACAAAAATTTCACAAACAACAAGTACAACATGATGTTTAAGCATTATATGTGTATAACTCTAGACGATTGAAAAGGAATCTGCAAAACAAAACTGAATGACAATGTACGGAAGGTTTTTGCAAACCTGTTAAAAAGTAAATATAACAAAAATACCGAACTCCAAGGAAAATTCAAAACGGAAAGTCCCTTATCAAATGGCAAAATCAAAAGCTCAAACACATTAAACTAATGGAAAACAACTGTCATATTCCTGACTTGGTACGGGCATTTTCTCATGGATTTAGTTGAGAGAATATATCATTAAATTGTTTTTATGTAATGAGAGAATCTATCATTTTTATGTTATGAGAGAGAATATATAATTTTTATGTAATAAGAGAGAATATATAATTTTTATGTAATGAGAGAGAATATATCATTTTTATGTAATGAGAGAGAATATATCATAAGTTATATGGTTTGCTACTGACCCCCTACGGATCCATAGAGGGTTAGAAAAATCCATAGGGGTGATGCCGAAAAAAAGGTGTATATGTCTGTCTGACATGATTTATTTGACCTCATTGTCATAGATCTTTAAAAATGTTAAGTTTCTGTAATGGTTTTAGCAAAACCTTTATCTTTAAGACTTTCAGCGTAAAATCAATGGTCAGTAAAGCAGGCGAGACATTTCAGCGTGTGCACTCTTGTTATGTAATGTACTTGACCTGATTTGAAAGAGCTAAAAGGTTCATTTATATATTTCAGTTTTTTATATTATTCATAATTGATATTTTACACTTAAAATGAAATTAGGGATGTAACAGAATAATTCTTCTTCTTTTTGTAACTTGATCTTTGTTTCTACTTTTTTCACTCCTATTTTCTGTAAATTAATCTTTGTTACTACTTTTTTCACTCCTACATTCTGTAACGTAATCTTTGGTTCTTTTCTTTTCTCTGCTTTCTGTAACTTGATCTTTTTTCTGAACTTTTTTTATATCTGCTTTCTATAAAATGTTTAATATTTCCAACTGTAAGGTATTGTTTTAATGATATTGTATTTGTTACATGTATTAAATGGTATGTATGGCATGTATATGCTTAAGTTGTTGAAAATATATTAAAAAAAAAACAAATATCATCATAGTTTTACAATGTGTAACAAAAAACATAACAAAATATTCCTTGGAGAACATGATTATAGACAGCTTTCTTTAAAACTGATTTCTCAATTGCATTGTTGGCTTTTTATCAAAGAAAATATGGTATAATTGTAAAAGAGGTAACTTTTCACTAAAGACCAAATGACAAGGATGTAAACAAAATACATGTTACTGTACGGTTTGAACAACGAACAAAAACCATACCTTATAGTAAGCTATGAAAAACAATGGAACAACACAATGTAATTTTATTCTGTAGCTGTTACTACACATTGTACATACTGTTAGTGATTTTCGCTAAATTTGACTCTGAGCTGAGTGAGGCTTATCCTTTGTAAAAACGTTAAAAGTAATGCGACTCAAAGGCTGTATAAAACGCGCTACACATACATATTTTGTTTATTTAAAACATATACATTCAACTTTTATGTCACAAACACGCGAATATAAACGTACATACATGAAAAGAAGTGTAAAAAATGCCATGGATTTTGATAAAACAATATTTTTGATAATACAAAAATGATAACAGGAATTGCCAAAATTTTTGAAAGTATAACACCATGCGACAAAACCAACTCCTCAAACAAATACAAACAAAGACAAACAACCACGAACAACACATGGTCCAATAGCTTGGTAAAGACATGAAAAGTGGTGGAATTTAACTAATTTTAAGCAAGCACAAACCTCTTCTTTTGCCTCAAATGGACTTTCTGTCGTAAAAGAAATACACATATTAAAGATAAAGTCATATTCCAGTTACCAACTAACTAGAATAAGGGTAGGCACTCTATTTAAAAAAAAAAGTAGGGCCAAAATGTACTCGCCAATACAGGAACCTAGCTAAGGTAATATACGAACCGTGAAACGACCGATCGTGCTGAAAATTCATAAGATGTGACAAATCATCATATTTCAAATTGAAGATCGGAAAATGCGTGTCCATATTGGTGTTAAGTTTCCCTTGACAAGCTGCTCTGAGGCGTCAAATTGGATCGATCACTTTTATACCCATGTCCGGCGGGTTTTTCGCAGTTACTTAAAAGTGTTTGTTATTCGTATCTATTATATGTATTCTGTACAAATTCAAAAATTCTAAATCAGATGAGATCGGGACGATCATCGTGAATTGTTTTCAATTAAGGCCATCGTCATATTGTTAGACTTTTTAGATTATACAAGAATAACTTTTCAATTTACCATTGTAATTACCTTCACTGATATGGTCCTTTTCTGTAAATTTTCTGTTTATAAAATTTAGATTTTTTCGAAACGCTATGGTTTTCTACCCCCAGGCATAGATAGTCTTAACCGTATTTGTCACATCTTTTCGGAATTTCTGTATTGCAATGCTCTTCAACTTCGAGTTTGACTTGGCCCTTCAATTTTTTGCCATTCGAGTGCCACTGATGGACCTAATGTAGCATCTTTGATGAGATTTTACAAGAAATTCAAGAAGTACATTAAGTAAACCATGGCTAATTGTTTTTTTTTTTTTAAATATTCGGACGCATCGATCATGAAAATTGAAGAAAATGACACTAATTATTGTTTCACCCGAATAGTTCTGTTCTTCCCCGTGATCGACTGTCCAACACGAGAGGCCTTTTTGGCCTCCTGAAAAAGAGAGGCGAAAGATACCAAAGGGACATTCAAACTCATAGGTCGAAAATAAACTGACACCGCCATGTCAAAAAAGAAAAAAGACCAATAGACAAACAACAGTATTCAAAACACAACATAGAAAACGAAAGACTGAGCAACACGAACCCCACCAAAACCCGAGGTGATCTCAGGTACTCCAATAGAGTAAGCAGACCCTGCTCCACAGGTAGCACCTGTCGTATTGATCATGTAAGTACAAACCCGGTGATAAGTCTTATTCGGTAGATCACATTCTGGGAAAAGTAGGAAATGGATTGTGATTACGAAAAATGAACGATTTTGAGGACGGACGTCTAGTGATGAAAATAGTTCACAAGGAACTTCGGTTCAATGTGGGCTTAATAAACGTCACATTTCCGTATATAATAAGCTGTTACAGTAGGGATTATCATGAATTTGACAAACTAATACAGACATTTGTTGTGGTTGTAGGATCCAACTTTCAGTTATTTTATACATTTGTATTTCACTTCGAAGTTGTATTAATCTGACTTTGCTATTAAGCCATATGGACAACTTTTTTTCTTTTTCTTTTTCCTTTTCTTTCAGATAGTTTAATTTTGTTAAGTTATTTTTGTTATTTTTGTTTCTACATTTCAATGGTAAAAAGTCCAAATATATAGTAACGAAAAATAACATTATTTCGAAATTTCAAAAAATCAAATCAAATCAAATAAATTACATGTACTATGTTAATTACTCCATTTCCCTGTATTCATAGTTATTTGATAGACTAAACTTACTACACAAACGACTGTACTTGTCCCAAAACAACTTGAAAATGATATTTTCCCAGGTAAGATTGACAAGTTCAAATAAGTGTGTGATACCGACATGCCTTTCTGGAATTACCTTAAGCTTCATAAGGCATAAGGTCGTTAATAGGAAGGAAAACCAAATTATAAATATACTTAAAAGAGTCCTTAAACAGAACAACTAAAAACATTTAAAGAGTCAACTTTGCCTCAAAGATTGCAATCATAATTCATGTAAATTTACAATTAATTTAAGACCTGGCCACTGCGAAAATGGTACATTCGCGGGCTAAGAGTCTGCCATCATTTGTAACGACACAGGGATAGTAAAATAAACCTAAGATAAAAATTTCCGAACGCACAATGCGTGTTTTTAAGCTTCTTTGGATACCTACTGTTTTGTGAGACAAATACATACAAAAGTTTAGGAGTCGGTAAATTTCAAGTCATTATCTATTGGTGTTTAAGTTACGGTTGCAGCATCCTGGGGCAAAAGTGCTGTTCTCTTTAGGACCTTTGGTTTCTAAACGCTCCAATAGTTTATATTTTTGGCTTTCCAAACGTTTGGTTTCCAGCATACCTGATGGATGTTATTCCCGTAGCATGTGTTGAACGCATGATAATCATATCATATGGGTTTTTTTGGCACCCTAAAAACGGAAACTGGGCGAGTGTTCATTTGTTTTATCAATGAGATAAAAAGTAAGCTATGTAAATAAACTCATCATAGATACCAGGGTTAAATTTTTGTACGCCAGACAATTTTCATCTTCAAAAGACTCATCAGTGAGGCTCGAATAAAAAAAGTTGAAATGACCAAATAAGGTACGAAGTTAAAGAGCATTGAAGACCAAAATTCTGAGAAATTTTGCCAAATACAGCTAAGGTTAGAGACCCAGTTATAAGTTTTTCACAAAATTTTTCAAATCCAAAACTTGATGAATTATTAGGTAAAATAGACGTACAATACAACGTGTTTTTTTTAAATATCATTCGAACAGGAAGCAACGAAACTAATTTTAGGCACGTTTACGAACGGTTTAAAAATACTTGGACTTCTTTATAATAAATCACATTTTTCAATCGGCTTGGGCTGTCACTAGAGTCAATATCATTCAGCCAATACGAAAAAAGACATGACATCATGTCAGTATTTAACCAATCTGCCTATCTTTGAACAATTCATCGTATTAAAAAATCTATTTAGACACTGTAGCATGCGAGTGTATTCGGTTGTCATAAATCTACCGATCTGAAGCTGTTTTATATGTGGTATCAACAATTTTAATATCGCAGAGAATGGAATTTCCCCTGTGACAATTTATACTAATTTTATAACCAAACTGTTCCAGTCATTGAACATATGCTTTTAAATTATTTATCGGTGACTTAATAATGGACATTTTCTATAAATAGTGCATTCGTATTTTATTTTTTAATATACTTCTTCCTCGCAACGATTAACAACGTATAAAGTTGAGAAGACAAACAGGTAAGATTTAGACCTATTACAATGGTCAATATACTATACACCCGACGTCATTTTTTCGATAATTTTATATATAGTACCATTATGCTTTAATTTAATTATTATAGAATACTAATGAAAGAAGAAAGCGATTAACATCTTCTTCCTGATGTATGTTTCTTTTCATATAAAATGGCTTCAAACAAAAGAATGGAATGTCATATACGCCATTAAAATAAAAATGAGCCTTTGATATAGTAGCTATGATGTGCAGCGAAGCTATGCAGGCTAGTGCAAAATGTCCATTACAGTTCAATACATGATACACAGGTAAATATCCTACAGATAACAGATAATCTTGAATATATAGATCAGTCAATGGGAACGCCATGCATCGGTTCCACGCTTGCGGCTACTCTACCTGAGGGGTGTCAGTTTGACTTTGAGGGATGTATAAATACACTGTTACGTCACAAGGAAGCTATTAAACCAAGAGTTCCAAATGGTGAGGTTGAAGTCATCTCTTCGTAAATTTTACGGACGCCATCACGAGTTGGTTGACCGTTATGGAATAACCGTTTCACAGATGATATCGGATATGTTCCTTATGTCGTAACTACAATACCCTCCCTTTTCACGAATGTGACTTACCGAATTAGACTATTCACCGGATTTGTAATAACATAAGTAACACGACGGGTGCCACATGTTGAGCAGGATCTGCTTACCCTTCCGGAGCACCTGAGATCACCCCCAGTTTTTGGTGGGGTTCGTGTTGCTTAGTCTTTGGTTTTCTATGTTGTGTCATCTGTACTATTATTTGTCTGTTTGTCTTTTTATTTTTGGTCATGGCGTTGTCAGTTTGTTTTCGATCCATGAGCTTGACTGTCCCTCTGGTATCTTTCGTCCCTCTTTTACGTCCGTTTTGCTGTGCGTGATACTAGTATATAAAAACATAAACACTTCCGGAAAGAAACATTAGCATAAAAGATACATAAATTTTTATTAATTGTGACTTAAATGTGTCCTTAGTCTACATGTTTGGAGGTTTTGCGCGCTCAAAACCTGGTTCGACCTACTGCCTTCATTCAAAGGTTTGTGTAAAAACTTAGGAATTTGACAGTCAATGGAAAATTTTAAAATGAGGTTCGTTTGAAAAGTTTTTCCTAAAACAGTCAGTATGATGGGCCTTGATGTTTTCGTTATCTATCTTGTATAACGTACATTGATATTAAGAATTGCCAAAAAAAGACAAAACTGTACAGCCAAAAATAATAACATAATAGAGTTGTATCCTTAGTTTTTGAAAATTAACCAAATCTATCAACTGTGATTTTATTTTTATAATATTGAATCATTATGTGAAAGTATGACAGAAGTGAGGACGGACAACCAGAAGGATATCTAAAATAAATAATTTATTAAAATAATCTTGGAAAGTGGTTAAGTTGTCTTTGTCCGAGTTGACATGCACTTATGATGTACTAACCACGAACAGTATGATGGGTGCCACATGTGGAGCAGAATCTGTCTACCCTTCCGGAGAACATGATATGACCACCGGTTTTTCGTGGGGTTAATGTTACTTCGTCTTTAGTCTAAGTAGTGTTTTGTCAACTTATTTGTCTTTTCGTGTGTTGTCCGTTTTTAGCCATGGCATTGTCAGTTTCTCATAGACTTATGATTGTTGAATACCTTGGTATCATTCGCCTCTTTCTTAGCTCTTCGTTTCAACTTTAGGTATTTATTCATTGGAATTGTTTTATTTAATATTGCTAACTCTTACCGTAATTTGTAAACGTCACTGTAGTATTTATTTGTTTATTTTTTCTTGTAGCCATCCCTGATTTGTATAGAAAAGTGACCAAACCGGATGGTAAATCGATTTCAGGATCTGAATTCATCATGGCGCATGACATCAACTAATAACAAGATTAAGAATACTTACTTTTGATTAGTACAAATAACTTATACATAGTCTTTGCTTTATTTTAGATAAACAATTATGAATATAAATGATTTACCGGCAGAGATGCTGATTGAGATATTCACTTACCTACCAGAATGGGATTTCCTTAGAAATGCTCGCCATGTCTGTCAATTATGGAATCTTATTTCTACATCACCGATCCTTCGACAAAATGTGGAGCTAAATAAATACATGGATTCATTCGCATATCCCCTGAAATATTTCTCGGCCATACAACTCTATATAAAGAAACTTGTTATGCATTCTACGTATATACAGACATTCGAGAAACATTATCAAGATGTGAAATTTGAAAATCTTAAATCATTGCACATCACTAGTAAGGTTCAGTGTACTTGGTGGCCAAATTCTGTATTCAATAACTTTTTCTCTATGTTCCCAAACTTTCAGATAATCAAGATCACTCCTGACTTTTGGAAAGACGCTGAAAATTGTTTATATGCATTATCTAAATACTCGATCATTGAATTAGACTTTGGATATTATGGTAGCACAGTGTATGGTGGCAACCTACACGATTTGCACTATAGGTTTATACAATTTGTGCATGGTCAAAGAAGTTTGAAAATCTTAAAAATCAGGGCGTCGCATTATTTTGCGGAAAATACAGTGGCGCAAATTTTGGAAATATGTCCAACGTTAACATCGTTGAATATTTCAGGAGCCTATGTATCAGCGGAATCCTTCAAAATGTCCACAAATGGTTTGGCTTTAACTGAGTTTTCTATGAAATCGCAAAGCGAGTTTGGAGATGACGACTTGGAGGCGTTAACAAAACGTACTTCGTGTTTAAAAACTCTAAATATTGAAGGTTGTAGTTTGATAACAGAACGTGGCTTTCTCCATATTGCATTTAATTGTTCTCATCTCAAGAGGCTATTTATTGGAGAATTAAATTCGAATTGTGTAACTGACTTATCTAGTGACGTCATCACAAAAATAGCAAAAGCCTGTCCTCATCTGGAATTCCTTTCTGCAATTGGCTGTTCAAAACTTGAAGACGACTGTATAATGGATCTGGCATCGTCATGCGGCAGTCTTCTGGGTATAAATCTAAACGGTTGTACCAATATTACAGATATTTCATTATTTGCACTAGCTGACCATTGTCCATTGCTGAATGTGTGCGAGATACGAAACAGTGCTATATCCCTCAAAGGCGCAATGTATTTAATACAGAATTGCAAAGGACTTACCAAATTGAATACGTCGAACTGCAACAATATTGATGACACAAATGTGTCCGAACTTGAAAATATGTTGGATACACAGAGTCAAACCTACCAACCAAGAACAAATTCGTCAATCAATAGTGAACTCGATATGTCTAGATCCAAAATGCATTGTTTCCACGCTCACTTGAAAGACTTGGATCTTAGTGAAAGCATGCATGTTACAAGAACATTAGTAACCAAGTTAACTAAAATATTACCAGATTTGATATCTCTTAGGTTATCAATATCTGCTGATATTGATTCAGATAAAGAATGGTTCCAGGAAATTTTTGAGAACTGTGTTTGTTTGTCCGAATTCAAACTATCTACAACAACAATTCGGAGGCAAGATTACTTGAAGTAATAAGTGTATCGTATGTGGGTTTTTTGATGCTCAAACTTTCAAAGTATCTTGATATTAGTAATGAAAAATACCAGTACATCGTGAAAGTCGTGTGGCTGGAATTAAGAAAACGTTATGAGTGTGCCTTTCAATTGATTTATTCATGCAGTGTCTTCTTGATTTCGGCATTTTCACATTTGTTTTAGTTTTTTATTCAGTTTTGATAGCTATCCTTGTTGAGGTCTCAAAATGAAACAAGGATATCAGTGTTTTTTTTTTATCACTGCTTCAGTATTGATATAAATAATTTTTCAATAATTCACCTTGTCAAATGTATGTCATATTTCGTACTTTCATGTATTTTTTTTTTTTTTTCAAAAAGAAAAAAAAATTGTATTTACAGTACCACTAATGGAGCAATTGCTTAATCTTTCGGAACATATGAGTTCTTCCGGGTTTTGGTGGGGATCCATGTTGCTCAATCTTTAGTTTTCTGTGTAGTGTATTGTGTCTTGTTGTTTGTTGTTGGTCTTGTAGTCTTGACCTTTTTTGGTCATGCTTTTATCTGTTTTTCTTCGACGTTTGATTTTTGATTGCCTTTGGTATTTTATCTCCTTTCTTGATTGCATATAGATGATATATTCTAAGTAGGACAATCCAATTTTGTCTTAACACACAAATGAATCTAAGTCTTTTAAAAACAGGTGATGTGGTATGATTGTCAATGGGACAATTATCCCCCAAAGACCAAAGGACGAGGATGGATGTAAAGAACTACAGGTCTCCGTATTGCCTTCAACTATAAATCCCATTCCGTGAAGAAAGCTTTAAAAAGCCCCGGCATTGCAAAATGTGAAACAAATCAAATGAGAAAACCAATGGCCTGGTTTATGCAAAAAAAAAAGTAAATGAAAAATGCTACATGCTTTTGAATGGCCTTTTGGTGTTTGTAAGAGAATAAAGTCAAGTCTTTCCATTTTATGAGAGGACATATCATTGTAAAGTACATTCTCCAAGTTCATGACAGGTTGATTTAACGAGTGAACAGTTGGAGGGCAAAAGGGTTTCACCACTTGAAAATTCTGCTATATATTCGTATAAAAACACATTAAAAATATTATCATTGAGTTATTTCTTTTCCGATTTGAATGAAATGTTTACCGTTAAACATAATATGTCTGCAATTTTGTGCAATAATTTTGATCCATGTGTTTGATTTATATTTTTAAGGAAATAACTGTTTAAAGACAAATGGGAATTTCTGCATGAAAAAAAATGTATGGGTATAGGAAAAAGATTTACACTTGATTTAATATTTGTTTTTATGTAAGGATTTTTCTGAAAAACATGTCATAATAATATTTCATTGTAATCATAAAAATTATAGACATGTAAGAGTTTAACAGTAAAAAATTCATCAAAATCGGACATGAAATAGGATTTTGGCATACAAAAAAATGTGATTTTAAATGAAATACACTGAATTCTATTTTGTTCTGAAACATTTTGCTTCAATAGTTCATTAATTATAATGAAATTTCCTTTTAAGGAACCTTCTAATTAACTTTTTTAAACTGATTTTTTTTTCAGATCCAACCGTGGATAAAAGAGAGACGAAAGATAGCAAAGGGACATTCAAACTCATAAGTCGAAAATACACTGACAACGCCATGGCTTAAAAAGAAAAAGACAAACGGACAAACAATAGTACACGAAACACAACATAGAAAACTAAAGAATGCGCAACACGAACCCCACCAAAACCTGGGGGTGATATAAGGTGCCACGGAAGGGTAAGTAGATCCTGCTCCACATGTGGCACCCGTCGTGTTGATAAATCACATATTTTGGATATAACTTCGATTTACTCATGTAGCAGTCAATTGTAAATAAATAAAACATTCGTTAATAACAACTTTTAATTATATTTCTATTATATAACAACATGAATGAAATGATTTTGCCTTCAAGATAAAAAAAAATAAAATATAAAAATACAAATGACAATGAACATGAATGAAATTATTTTGCATTTAAGATTAAAAAAAAATGAAAATGACAATGAGCTGTTGTATAACTAGTTAGCTTTCTTCATCCAATAATTAACCCAATCTCTACAAAGTGTGTTGCTTGAGTCTGGTTGAAAGGACATACGGATCTCAAAATCATTGTACATTCCAGATGTTTTCCATGTTGTTACTGTTTCTGTAATATATTAAAATATCATTATACATGTATCTTATATAATACATTAAAAAAACAGTGAACAGTTTTTGTATTTATGGTTTAACAATTTACTATTGGTATTCACTTAAATATAGTCGTCTGATGTACGATTTACAAAGACCTCAAGTGTTGACTGTGGTATAAATAGTTATGGTCACCCTGAGTTCTACCTGTTAGTAGAACCAATGTCAAAGATTGACGTCCATTTGGCTACATACGGGTTGTATGAATACGTAGCTGCGTTTGGTCGGGACATGGACGTACAATCAGATGCCTTGCAGATCTAACATTGTTATGCTTAATTTCAGATGATATATATGCTAAATAGTGTCTTGAATTCTCTATTTACATATCTAGTATATGCTAATGTTTTTGTGGCAGATTATTGAAAATTGTCGTTAAAAAATTAACCATGTTCTTAGAGAAATGTTGGGAAATAAATGAAGAATATATATTCTATATTCTAAAACTGATAAAACGAAGAGACAATTCGATGTGTGGTTATGTGATTTTGTGTGATGTTAACTTACCAGCTTGCTTTGAACTCGCCATGAAAGCTTTGTCACAATTGGCTGCTTTAGAACATATGGCACTGATCATACGACTCTTTCCAATTAGCTGTTCCACTGTGGCAGCATCGTTCTGGGAGACATATATAGTCTTTACATCCTTTACTACATTCCCATCCTAAAACGATTTAAAAGGTACAAATAACGATCTCTGTAGACAAAGCAAAGTATAAGTAGATAATGGTCTTTAAAATCACAGTTTATTTACTATGTTTCTGGGAGAAAAAGAAAAAAAGAATTTTGTTACAGTAAATAAATTGACAGTCTCCAAATGTCGTAAATAAATTGAATAGTGAATTACAATAATGTCTTGAACAGTACAGAATGTGATCTTGTGCAATGCCAAAATAACATTGCTGAACAGACTTTCGATACAAAGAAGTTGAATCATATTATTGTAAAACTGAAAATTAAGCGAATTTCTCTCTCTCCCTCTCTCTTTGATCTATACAAACCGTTAATACATTCTATATTGTGAAACTTGGATTAAACATTTATGGTTTAAAGACGTTTGCTTATATTCGCCTTTTATATTTTCTGAAATGTTCTTAAATAGATATAGGAAGATGTGGTATGAGTGCCAATGAGACAACTCTCCATCCAAGTAACAATTTATAAAAGTAAACCATTATAGTTCAAGGTACGGCCTTCAACACGGAGCATTGGCTCACACCGAACAGCAAGCTATGTTTGTTTTTACAATATTTACTTACATTTTTAAGAACCTCTAAGTCGTTCTTCACAGATTCCATGGTTTTTGTATCGTCCATCTCGGTGATAAAACAGTACTTGACTCTTCCGTTTCTAACACTTATTGCACCTAGTGCCTGGAAGGAAAATCAAGCTCACAATATAATTCAAGATAAAGAGAGCGGTGCTGTGTTGCATGTAACCAGTGCTCAGATGACCAATTTCTAGTATGCAAAAATTGTCGTTATACAAGTACAAGCAGTTGTGTAATTAGAAATATAAATGTAATATTTGCCGCTAGACGCTAAACACCTTCAATCAATCATTTTAGTTTGGGATGTTTCTATTTAAAAGAATTTCATTTGGTATTACCCCCTAATCAACATTTAGTACTCTTTAAACTTTTATATCTTTAAACCGTTCCAAGTTTGGCCAACAATGCAAGCGTACATTGGTACGATTCTGGTCATATTCTGTTATTTCTTTTTGTATAGAAAATATAAATTCTATTATATACACCAAAATACACAGACAACATCACCAATGCTCAACCCTGACTGAAATCTCAACTTTTGAACCTTAACAAATGTCTTATATTGTTTTTAGGCTGTCAATGGACACTTTTAGACAAACAGTAAACATGTTTATGCTGATAACACAATGAACAACATGATTTGACAACCTTTTTAGAAAATCGGAATTAAAAATGAAACTTGAATGTGGAATGTGATCTGAAGGAAATTTAAGTAAATGTCATTTTATTGGAAAAATAGGAAGAATTTCTAACCACATTCTGGTTACATCAAGTAATAAGTGTTTAACATATAATTTCTACGAATATTCAAAATCAGATACTCACCGCATCAACGTCATATATGAAGAACGACGTATTGTAGCCAATAGCCTCATTGTTCGTGTCACGTGACTTCATAAACACTACATCCAACCCATCACGGTATATTGCGCTTTCTGCTAAATCCACATTGTCAACTGTGTTAGTCCATGTTGTATTTATGAAGTTCTAAAACACATAATATTACGAAAAAATATAAATATACATTGGAGAATAAAAAGAACATGTCGAGGATGTACAATAGTCTACAATCTCAAGAAATAGTAGGGAAATGGGCGAAATTGCTTTTACTCCTGTTATACAGCTTATTTGTTGGAGCTAGCTAACCCAGATACAATAAGGAAAAGTTTTTAAACCGGAAAATATAGACTCCGAAAAGTGTCGGACATTCGCTGTTGAAGTACTTTGAACTTAATAATTGCGTACTTACAGTAACTGCGAGCATTCTATCTTATTCATTATAGTTAAACCCCGCTTCATGCACATGTGCCTGTCCCAAAAACAAAACTAGTTTGCTGTTGTCTTTGTGTATCTCTTACTGTTTTATCTGCCCTTTAGAAAATATTGTGTTGATGTCAGATTTTATTAGATTATTCTCAACTTTTTAGTCTGAGTTGTTTTTAGAAATTTACATATTGTATAGAAACCTGCCTAAATAGACCGTATGTTATCTTTAAGATTGACTTATATATATTTTTTTGTGGTTTGGTTGCTTCTCGATTAACGTATTACCTCACATAACTTCATTCACGAGAAGAAAAAATTACAATGGCCACAGACGTTTTCTCTATTTGTTATAAATTTTTCGTTGACCAATTTAGAAATTATTTAAAAAACTAATGATTAACTCTCGCAGACCTGGGAACAGTATATCTATCTTTATTAACTATGACCCGACGATAAAATCGGCTACAATTAGGTAGTGTCAAGTCCCGTCAATTTATATGTTCCTGCGCAGACACAGTTGATCTATGATGTATTTGACTAATTTTTTTCATGCTCCTTTTGGTAAGATGGCTTTTCACGTGTTCAGGTATTTATACATCCTTAATTGGTTTTAATTATTTTTTTTCGGTGTGAACGTTCCTTACGAACGTGTGACGGGATTGCTTCCCTTCATTAGTAGATACTTAGTCAGCCGTAAGTGGTTGATCTAAGGAAGAACTTCTCCTTTAGCTCAGTCGGTATACGCGCTGCCTTGTAACACAAAGGTCCCGGGTTCGAGTCCCGGTGGAGACATGCGATTTTGCAAGTAGAATAATGCTCTCCGGTTACAAACGTAAATCCAGAAAAGCAGTTCACACTCACCAAATTTATTTTTAAAAAAAATATTTGACATAATTGTTTATGACTTTAAATGTTTATGTCAAAAACATTGTTCAGAACCAGATACATTTTTTGATTGAACGAAAATTAAATATATATATATATATTACAGGAACGTAAATGAATTAACAAGAGTGTGAAAATGATTTATAGCTTTATTGTTACTGAAAAATATGAAGATATATAATTAAATTTAATGATTATAGCTAATATTCACCAGTTGTGAAGAATTATTAAAGAGGTATAATATATCTGATCATGTGAAAATATCTGTGTGTTAAAAGAGATTAAACCAGGTTGAATCAATGAATAGAATTCAATAGACAATAATATATGTGCTCTTACCATTCTTCGTGCATAGTTTCTCCATTTATTTTTGTTTCTTCCTTTCCAACTCGCTTGGCAAATAACGATTGCCAAACAACACACAAACAAAAACATCAATTTATTCATATTGAATTTCGAGTTTCTGTTCCTGATGCAAGTTTACTGTTTTGACAAACTCTATTTACAACTAGGTTCTTATATACTCGTGTACTACATGTGTCATGTGGTCTATTATGCAAAGGTTCATCTGTAGTTCTTACATGATTAGATGTCTTAATTATCCACATACTTCATGGTTTCCCTTTGGCTAAAACATCATAGATTCTGATCTTTACATGTTTACTTACAGGAAACAACATGCGCACGTGTCAATGCACGTGGTATATATATTAAGAGCTTGTGTTTCGTAACGTTACTGACCTTACTATTTGTTAGGTTACTATTCGGTTACTCCAGATTCCAAAAATAATTTTCAGTGATCCATTTTAATCAGTGTTCACATGCATTAAAATAATTATTATATTAAAAAAGAAACAAATACATCTACTGAGTCAAACATGTCAAACGGCTTGTATCCCCTTTTTCTTAAAATTTTAATAATAAGTTCTAAAAAAAAAGTCTAATAAAGATCGTATACTTTTGTGGTTTTTTTTTTTTGTGGTTTTTTAATGAGCATATTTGTTCAGCATTATTTTCAATACCAGCAAGTATTAACATAATTTTTGTGTATGCATGTGGTCCTTGTAATCAGATTCTTGTAAGAACCCTTACTAATCTTTAATGAAGTCCGATCTGGAAAAGGTTACTAGAATACATTCTTTTGAATATTTCATTTCCCAATTATTGCGTGAAGAGAGGAAATTCAGTTTTAAAAAAAAACATAATTCTTTACTTTCTTGTATTAGTAAAAGCAGAAGATGACTGAATGCATGTTTAATCTGAAAAAAGGAAATACACTGAAAATCCTTCAAGTGAACACACCCTTGTTTATTTACTCAGGTATCAACAGCAATAATTAAAGCAGCTAGTGTTTCTCATGTAGTACCCTTTTGCTTACAATACGGAGACAGCAGATGCAGTCATGATATCTGACTGTAATTAAGTACATTTGTACTTGGGTTTATTGATCTGCCGAGTTATATAAAATGATAAAGCTCAATTTAGTACAAAAGGCGACAGGAGGAAGAACCGAACTTGACTTAAAATCGGGTTTTCTTAAAAAGAAAATATAAAAATATCCATGCAACCAGTAGTTCGTTTTTTAGATCTTGAAATTTTTGAATAAATAAATGCTAGTCATCTATTGGATTAATTAATAAAAAAAAAATCCCTCTAGTTTTCACCCCTCTGCCATTTACTCTCCTACTTTTCGTTCACTCTCTCTCTCTCTCTCTCTCTCTCTCTCTCTCTCTCTCTCTCTCTCTCTCACTTCCCTTTCACCTGTCTCTTTCTCTCTCTCACACTCCTCCATCCAATTTCTTTTGATCTCCCTTTAACCTGTATGAAGCTTTACTTTAAAAGAATGTGTATGCAGCAGGTATCCCTCAATTCAAGTTTCTTAAAACAGCACAAAATTCATTGTGGAATTCAGTTTTCTCGGACAAAAACATTGTGTTTAAAATATACCCTATCTTCTGTGATACAGCGAACTTGTTAAGACAATAATTTTCGGAAATTCTTTACAATAGCACCATATTTTTTTTTACTTCAATAGTAGTTCAAGAATAAAATGGTTTTTTTTGGAGGACATTAATATTCACGAAGTATATCAGGTAATGCACTAATGTTCAGAAAAGGACAAATTCAAATAAAACGACCGGATAATTCAGGAATATATTGGAATCATACGACTTCCTCCTTGATTTAAGGAAAACTTGTTTTTCTTATCATGACAAATCTTGCACTAGGATTCGAGTCAGAATTATCTTACAAGAAACTTCCTCCATGAATTATATAAAACTTGTTTTTGTAATTTGACTGGTATGTATACGTCTAGTTAAGCCCTGTAGCTATATTCTAGTTCGTAAAAGCGTCAAGGCCCCCAAGATGAAATTGAATAGGCAAGATAAAAACATTTCTATAGAATAATTGAAAAAAAAACTAAAATCGATATCGAATTTAAAAAAAATATTCCGTGGAAGTTAATCTATTTAAAAGGCGTTTAACAACAAAGTGCTAATAAAAAGGTTTCTCGATACGCACGAATTATGTAAGGCTGGTACGTATCTAAACGTTTTGGGATGTGGTATATGTGTAGATACCCTCACACTTTTTCAATTGAAAATCAAACAAACTATGGTACATAATGTGTTTAATCGTAATATTCATAAAGGTAAATTGTGAAGACAACAGTGCGCACATAGAATCAATAATCATTTGACGAAATTTAGTTGTTTGCGTGTAATAATTTTACGATTTCTAAAACACCAACATGTATCATAAAAAATTACTTAACATCATTGCCACAAAGAGTTATAAAAAAAACATTTAACTGATGATTTTTTCCTTTAACAAGAAAAAAAAAAAGAATATGTGCAGGACAGCATATTTTTTGATACATTGAAATTTGCAATTATTCGACCGGGGGTCAGAAAACACGTGATAATAATTTGTTATAATGTGTTTATATTAGTAACCACTGAATCACATTTTTGCCGAAAAATGTGAATTTTACGAGTTTGTAACAGTAATACCAAGAAACAAAGTGCAATTATTGGATCGACACTAGGCTTCGTCTCTTATTAATATGCAGACTGTTATGACGTCCTAACACTAAATCCGTTGCATGTGTAAAAAATGACACTTTAGTCTGGGAAGACATGATTTATTTGTAAGTTGTAATTGTCTTTGAGCTTACTTTCAGTATTATACTCAGCGTTTGTGTCCATTGCTTTTTGTGTTTTTTTTTTAGTTTCACATTTTTCATCTCGGTGCCTTTTATAGCTGATTATACGGTATGTGTTTTTCTCATTTTTGAAGACTGTACGGTGACCTATGATTGCTTTTATCTTCGTCATTTGAACTTTAATGGATATTTGTCTTATTGGAAATCATACCACAGCCCTTTATCTATACATAAAAGACTTATCCTAAAACTTCCGATGTCTGTTTTTACATTAAATTGTTTTGCTGTTGAACATTGTTGGCGTACATTCCTTCCACTCATTAATTCATTTAAAATACTGAAGAAAAATTTTACATGACGAAAAACTAAATGTATTGCAACAGCCGATTTAGTATTTATAAATTCAAAAACAGTAGAAAAATTAAAAGAATAAATTAACTGCAATCAACTGTTAGATGGCATAAACGTTGGATCTCATTAGACAATTTACTTAGCATGTATGATAACGCATTTTGATTGTGTACCTGCAAATCAAAGTTAAGGATGTTCGCTACTCTGTTTCAAAATAACACGCTTTTTAAAACACTGTTATTGGTTTAAACAATATTTTATTCGATAAGTCAAATCATTCTATATAATATAATACAGTATAAACAATGGGATTCAGAAACAAGCAACATTGCTTATTTTAATCTGTCTCCAAAAGAATGTTGACATACAATATAATGAATACTTGGAGCATGCTCTGTCAATTGGAATATATTAAGAATAGTAAATACAAAAAAAGATTGATTATATAGTTTGAGAAAAAAGGGAGAAAAAAAAAAACAAACACAAAAAACAAAAAACAAGTGATTGAAATGAGCTAAATGAAATGCAAGGAAAACATATAAATGATGCTTTCATATTATGGTGTGAATCTTTTACTTTTCAATATGTATTTTTGTACCAATACAAAAAGAGTACAATTTTCTTCATCAGTTAAACAATCTGACCCAAAAAGCAAAATATTTACATCAATACGCTGCGGAAAATCAGCAAGAGAATTCAGTAGCACTTGGCGTATGTTAGTATAGTAAGGACACGTTAATAAAAAATGAGAGCTTGTTTCTATAGCACCACAACGACAATTTGGCGAATCCACTAAATTACGTAAAAATAAATCGGAGTTTAAAGCACTAGAGTTCATTCGCAAGCGTGCATGGAGAATTTGTCCAATGCGATTTCCAACATAATAATGTGTGGGAACCTTCTTATTTTGTTTACAAATATGTTTTTTAAATAGAAAGAGAGAGTCGCACTGTCTTATATTAAAAGGTATCTTATTCCATAATTTCACGGTTGCAGGGAAAAAGTATTCTGAATATAAGCGAGTTCTTGTACCGATTTCTAAGACATTTTGACGTTGCCTTGTATTATGGTTATGCCCACTTTCTACTAAACCTGGTATTTGTTCACGGAGATAACTAGGTGTTTTGTCATATATAATTTTGTGCCAGAGTATCAATCTATGATTTAATTTATACTATATACTACAAATAGAGTATACCTGCTTTTAATAATCACCGTAAATTCTTATACAAAGTTCCATGATTATAATTTTATAATCGTTTATAAATTTAAGCCAGTCAATTACAGTTCATAATGAGTACATGTCGGGTGCCACATTTGGAGCTGGATCTGCAGATCCTTCCAGAGCACCTGAGGTCACCCCGTTTTTTTTGTGGGGTTCATATATTTAGTATGATTTCCAATGAGACAACTCTCCACTAGAGACCAACTGGCGTAGAGGTTACAACTATAGATATATATATATATATCCAAGTCTAAATTGAAAACAACGTTCAAACCTATGATTGCGTTGGATAAAAACCGCAATTTTTATACGTGTGCATGTAAAACAAATTTCTTGTTAAAGGGGTCTAAATACAGCACAAACAACATTTTCCAAAAGACCATAAAAGTGAAAAAGTATATTTCAACAAAACGCATTTGACTAACAGGTCGAACAACGGATGTTCTTAAACCCTGCTGACTGCCATTGGCGATTGCCAAATAAATTGATCACAGATGTAACAAAATGATCTTAATAGTAATTTAATACAAAACAGAAAAAAATAAACTTGTGGAAAAGATGGTATACCACAACCATGAGGTGCAAAAATTTGTACACCATATCCGGATTTCGACAATTAATGTCTCTTCAGTGATGTTAGGGATCGAAACGGTATTTGGAAGGCCATATAATTTACCTCAATTTCTTGAATTTTAAAGAGTCGAATATATCTATATATATATATAAAGCCTAGTTGGTCGAGTGGTCTAGGGCGCTGGACACGTTGCAGGCGGTGTTGCCACGATGTCTCAGATGCAGGGATTCGAGACCCAAAGAACAAAAATTTGATAACGCATATTTGCAGATCAACCATTGTTGGGTGAACAAAACGAAGTATCTATGAATTATGTTGTTA